GCCAGGCGCTCACCAAAGCTCTTTGTTTAAGGAGTTTCTTTATCGAGGTGGAGCTGACTTACAGCGTTGTCAGCTTCTGCTGTACAGGAAAGTGACTCAGTCACACATGCACATATATACTTCTTCTTTCCTGATGATCAGTCACAGAATACTGAATATGGTTCCCTGAGCCAGACAGAGGGACCTCACAGTGTACCCGTGCCGCCTGTCACACGGCGGGACTACAGTGTACCCGTGCTGCCTGTCACACGGCGGGATTACAGTTTACCCGTGCCGCCTGTCACACGGCGGGACTACAGTTTACCCATGCCGTCTGTCACACGGCGGGACCTCATGCTGTGCGTAAGTTTGTACCTGGTAAATCCAATCTCCTAATCAACCCCTCCTTACTCCCCCCCCCCCCGCCCCCCGCCCCTGCAAGTCCTTCTAACAAGCTCTCTGGATGCAGAAATTCACTGGACTTTCATGAAAACCCACTGCGATGCAGACTGATGTATGGGACCCTGCATGTTCCTATTCAAGTGTGATTTTGTTAAATGTATCTTTTTTAGTTTATGTTTTTATGTTTTTTTTTAATCTAAATATACAGTTTTAACACTAAACACGCTCTTTCAAATTACATAAGGCCCTCCAGAGAGTCCATCCTGTGATTCAACCTTCCTGGTTAGAAATTCCCAATTAGGAGTTAAAAGCTTTTCCTTAAAAAGACACAGTCATGCAAGGCCCAGAACACCATTCTCTTTGGACTCTTTGAGGTTCTGTCTGTATTTCTACATGTTGTAAAATATGGTCAAAACAGTTAAAATTCATATTCTTAAAAACCTAAATGTTCAAAGTTTTGACTTTAGAAGACAGGAAAGGAAGAGAGTCAGCAAAACCCACATTTTGATATTACCCTTGCGGAAATGAAGCGCTCTGCGAACTGAACCTCTGAGACGCGGACCACAGGGAAGCTGAGGGAACAAGAGAGACATGCGTGGTTAGTAGCATGAAACACAGACTGCCCCTCGTGATGCTCAATGCACAAGTGCTGGTACCCAACTCAAACCACAACATCACGATGCATTGACAGAAAAATCTAGAAAGAAAACTAAAAGACCGTCACTAATAGTTATTGGTGATTACCCTAAGCGTCAAGGGGCGTTCATCGCACCATCGAAAAGGGCCCGAAGCCGAATCACCTATCTGCTAACTCATTCCTTGATGCCAAGGGCCCACCAAGCTGAGGCCCCATTTGGCACCCAAGTGTGGGAGCAGCCTCCAGGACACCCCTCCTGGGGTTCTCACCCCGAATCCTGCCTCCAAGGGAGCGGCTTTCAGTGACAAAGAGCATGTGGCAGGAGTACCAGGTGGCAGGAGTAACAGGCCAGCACCTCTGAGAGCAGGTGGTCAGAGGGCAGCTGCTGGCCGGGCGTCCTCTCTGAGGCAGGACCGCTGTGCTGTGAGCAGCCCAGGGAGGCCCCTGGGATTCCACCTTCCCAGTTCACGTCAGTGGCTCAGTCATGTCAGACTCTCTGCAACCCCATGGACTGCAGCATGCCAGGCTTCCCTGTCTGGGGAAGCCAGAAAGCAGCTTCTGCCGGTTCCGCTGACTCTTAACCTGAAACAGCCTGACTTGAATCTAACGAGACGGGGAGCCAGCTCAGCCCCACCTGCATCCTGACCTTCAGTGATGGGGTGACATGGTACCTGTTAAGTTATCTTAAGCTTCTGGGTTTGGGGTGACTCAGGACACAGCATCAGACGATAACACACCTAGGGACAGAGGCACCCACATCCTGCTGAGAAGGCCCAGGACAAACGCCCCACGCCTGGGAGCGAGCAGCAGAGGACGGGTCTCTCAGCAACTACTATTGGTTTTTTTCAACTGAGCTATAATTTATATGCCATAAAGCTCACTCTTTTAAAGCTCACTCATTAGCAGCTGTTCCCAATTCCTGGTCTCCTGAGTTGGTTTCTCTTCCCCTCCATCTTGGTGTGCTTGTGGTCTAAACCTGGGTCTTTTTGTTTAGTGCTTAGTCGTGTCTGACTCTTTGTGGCTTCATGGACTGCAGCCTGTCAGGCTCCTCTGTCCATGGGATTCTCCAGGCAAGAAGACTAGAGTGGGTTGCCATAAAACCTGGGTCTTATCTCGTCTTTATTTATGGCCTTTCCTCTGGGACTGCATCTGCCTGAATGGATTTCAGCATCACCTGCACACCGGGGACTCCCAAGTGGACACCTGCGGCCTGGACTCGGACACGACGGGCACCGGCCTGTCTGCTAGCATCCCCTGGTTGTCACCTGTCTCAGAACATAACATCTGCTCCTGATCTGCCCCTTTCGTCTGCTTCCCCCACACCCCTCCACATCTCACACAATGGTGACTTCATCCTTCCAGTTGCTCAGGCCAAAAACCTCAGTCATTTTTTACTTTTCCCTCTCACCCCTCAGCCCCCAACCTGTTAGCAAACCCCCTGCCTCTCTGTGAGACATCCAGGCTCTAACCACTTCAATCACCCAAGCTACCTGGCTTGTAACTGATACCCTGCTCTCACCCTTGCCTCTCTCTGCACAGAAGCTAAAGGGACCCTGTTAAAACTGTGGGTTCCTGGTGGTCAAGTGGCTAAGACTTCATGCTTCCACTGCAGGGGGCACAGGTTCGATCCCTGGTCAGGAAACTAAGATCCCTCATACCATGCGGTGTGGCCCCAAATCCCCCCAAAGCCAGAAAGACAAAGTATGAGGACAGATCAGGTTACTGTTTAGTGCAACCCTCCAAGAGTGCCCCATTTCATTCTGAGAAAAAGGTAGTCTTCACAGTGGCTAGCAGGGCAGCGGGCAGTGTGACCCCGTCTCTCCGGGCCTTGCCTCATGAGCTTCCCCTTGTTCCCTGCACACAGGCCACTCGGGCTGCCTGGCTATTCCTGGAAGATGCCAAGTACAAGTGCCTATGCCTTGACTGCTCCTCCCCAGGACAACCCTAACCCCAGGAGGTCCCCCAGGCTAATCCCCTATTTCCTCTGGCTCTCCACTCAAACACCATCTCACTAGAGAAGGCTTCCCCAACCATCCAATTTAAAACTGAACACTTTCCTCCCAACTCGTGCTTTATCTTTCTCCATAAGACTTACCAGCTTTAAATCTGCTATGTAATTTGCTTCTTCTTATGCTTCAAACATACTATGTAATTTGCTTCTTCGTAAAATTGCTCATCTCTCTGCAAACCCCTCCCCCATCAGAATGTGAGTTCTGTAAAAACAGGGGTCTGTTTTATGATTATAACTGATGCATTTGCCATCCTAGACCAGAGTTTGACTTGTGATGGATGCCCAATAAATGGTGAATGAATGAATGAAATCTCTTCTAAGCCATCAAGTGAAGCCCCTGTGGAACAACCCATAGTTGGGAACTCACGAATGGCCTCTTGAAAGCCTGGTGGCTCAGTAGTAAAGAATCTGCCTGTCAGTGCAGGAGATGCAGGAGACTTGGGTTCGGCCCCTGGGTCAAGAAGATCCCCCAGAGGAGGAAATGGCAAGCCACTATGGTATTCTTGCCTGAAAACTCCCACAGAGAAGCCTGGCGGGCTACAGTTCATGGGGTCACAAAGAGTCAGATACACGCCTGAGAGCCATTTCACTGGTGAAAGCTCAGAAACTTTCTGCACCTGATCTGCTTCCCTGTAATTCCTGCCTATGGCCTTAGCTTAGCTCCAACCCCACTGGGAACAAATGTGCACCCTCCTCTCCCCCAGGGCCACCTTTCAATCCCTGAGAACTGTGATGGTGTCCATCCTGTTCCCTTCAGTCGCTCTTCAAGATCCTGCCTGTTCACCATTTTGGTCATCCTCTCTTTACTCAGCTCACTTCACCCGTGTTTCTCTCTGAAAACGGGGGGTCGGGAATTGAGCACAGCATTCTAGAGGTAGCTTTATGTTGGTAGAACAAAGTCAGTCCCACCGCTTTTATAAAAACTTCCCTGCCTGCTTAAACCCATGTTTTATTATGGAAAATGACAAGCATACTAAAGTCAAGAGAGCAGGGAGTCCTCCTGTATCTCTTCCTAGACTCAACAGTCATCAACTCATGGCCAAGCCTGACTCATTCACAATGCCTCTGCTCCAACTCTGTGGTGTGCTTTAAAGCAACTGTCAGCGTACTTTTATGAAAGAGAAAGCATCTTAAAAACAAACATAACCACAAGATCATTATCACACCTAAAAAACGGGAAACTTCTTTACATACATAAACATTCCTTCACACGAATATACACTCCAACCATTTTGAGGAGAGGTTTATAGTGTTTTTGACCAACAAAACCTTGCTGAACTTCATGACAACCCAGTGCCTAAAATACAGGTGTAGCTTTTGCTGGGCTGGTTACCTCTGGGCAAGGACATTCACCACCGTTTTCCAGATGAGGACAAGGAAGCTTAAAGACTGGCTTGCAGCCTGGGGAGTGATGGTTAAAGCACAGGCTTTGGAGCCGGACCAAGCTATCTGATTCAGTCCGCTCCCACTTCCCTGCTGTATGGCCAAGGGCAAGTTACCTAACCATTCTAGCCTCAGTTTGCTCCCCAACTTAAATGGAGCCTATGGAAGTTGGAGAGCTATCACCAGTATTTAAGCTATTAACTAAAGGAACCAGGGTCTGAACCCAGGGTTTCCACGACCGATAATCACCGCATCAAAAAGAGCGATTAACACCGGTCGGACGCAGACACACGTGGCAGGGCGCCCCGTGTGCCCAGCTTCCTCCGTTCACCCCGTGGGGCGGGCCTCACCGGCTCCGGGTCCCGACTCTCTCAGGACGCTGCGGCTGCATGCAGACGCCAGCCGCCCGAAGGTGACCGGCAGGGCCCAGGTCGCCACGGCCGCCGCCATTTTCCCGCAGCCTCCGCCAAAAGCGGAAGCGGAAGTCGTGCGAGCCTGGTGCTTCGACGCACCGGGTCCGGCCGGGAGCAGCGCCGCGCGCTCGACAGCCGGTTCCCAGCGGCTCTGGGCCCGGGCCGGACTGCGGCCATGGCCTTGACACCTGTGGAGAGCTTCGTGACCAAGCAGTTGGAACTGCTGGAGCTCGAGAGAGACGCGGAGGTCGAGGAGCGCAGGTACGGCCGCCGGCCCGGACCTCTCGGGGTCGGCCCGGCGTCTCCCCCAGGGCCCCCTCCTCTCCCAGCTGAGACCCCACAGATGAAGCCTCCGGGGGCTCGGCCTGACAAGCTTAGGGCCGGGATTTGCCCTCCTGACTGTGAAGGGGGCTCGGCTGCCTCCAAGGATGGAAGCCTCTTCACTCTTCGGGGCGGCCCGTTCCGTTTTGGGGGCCCCCTCGGAAGGGTCTTCTCCCCCTGAAGTGCCCCTCTGAACTTTGCCCCGTGGGCCCAGCCTGCCTCCCCAGTTCCATCCCCATCGTGTTCTCCGCCCTCTTCCCTCCTCGTTCCCGCGTCAGTGTTTGCGCCTGTTCCGTGCCGGGCCCCGAATGGGACGGAGTCGTTGATACGGGCCCCGGGCGACCGGTGTGAGCGGAAGGGGCCGGGCGGCGGGGGGGCGAACGGCCCGCTTCCAGCCTGACAGGTGCTGAGCTGCGGCGCAGGCCAAGTGCAGTGGAGGGGGAGGAAGGACCTACGACCCTGCGGAGCCTTAGTGGAGGATGGCTTCCCGGCGGCGGTGGTGCCTGAACACAGCTTGCAGAAAAATAGGTGTTAAGAAGGATGCGGGGAGGAGCTACCTGGAGGAGATGTGGGAAAGCAGCGCACCCCTGCAGCCAGAACTGGAGCCCTGAAAATGTCGGGCTTTCGCCCATAAGGCTGAAACTGAGAGCTGACATTTATTGAGGGGTGTAAAAGCACTCCACAGGCGTCAGTCTCTTTAAACCTCACGTCAACTCTGCGAAATCGGATACTACGTTAACCGATTCTCATCTTTTGTCTAAGGAGGCTGGAACAGAGAGGTTAAGTCACTTGCCCCAGGTAACAGAGGGTGAGCCAGGATTTGAGGTCACGCAGGCTGATGCCAGAGTTTGTACTCAACCACTGTGCTGCCTAAGTGGAGAGGATTTGATTTAGAAGTTTTTAATTATGATAATTGAGGCTTTGGAGTCCTGTTGTCCTCAGTGGAATCCAGGCTCCATCATTTATGGCTGGTGACTTTGCAGCCTTAGTAATTTTATCTGTAGAATGAGATGATCCTTACAGCAAACCAGCGAGGTGGGAACGCAGTGATCTAAAAGTCAAGGGCTCAGCACCGTCGGGAGTACAGAGTAAGCACCCATGGAAAGATACACAGAGGTCAGATTGAGAAGGACCTGGGGAAGAAGCTTGTATTATAGTCTTTTGTGTGTGTGTGTGATGAGCTGCATGTGGGATCTTAATCCCCCAAGTGGGGATCGAACCTGTGCCTCCTGAACTGGAAGCACAGTCTTCACTTCACTGCTGAATGGCCAGAGGCGTCCCTCTTATTTTATATTCTTGTGCAGAGGATGGCCCTCGGCAGTGAGGGTGCAGGGGTGGATTCTGGGTACAAATGGGAGGGCCCTGGTGGGACTCAGTGACTCACAGGGCCCAGGAGAGAAGGCAAAGGTGAGCGAAGGTGCTGTCTTGGGGTGCTGCGAGGAGGGCATGGGGGGCTGTAGGAGGAACAGGTTTGAGAGGAGGCAAGTTTGGAATTTCCCGTGCGTTGGCCTCCTCTGTTCCTCCTGCATGTTTGGATGTAAAAACTGGTAAAATACAAATACTGAAGTTTCAACATTGGGTGTTCCCAGATCCTGGCAAGAAAATGTCTCTCTGAAGGAACTCCAGAGCCGAGGTGTCTGTTTGCTGAAGCTGCAGGTATCCAGCCAGCGGACCGGGCTGTACGGACGGCTGCTCGTCACTTTCGAGCCCAGGAGATGCGTATCTGCCGCTGTACTTCCCAGTAACAGCTTTACTTCCGGTCTGTACATTGTTGACAGGGATGTACTTTGAATATTGCAGTCTTCAGATGTGGGCTGTAAAGATCTGGTCACATAGGACCAGCTGGGGAATAAAGCACTGCAGTGGAGAACTCTCACTTAGAATTCCAGCAGTTATGAGGCTTTCTGGTAGTTTAGATCAGCACTGTCCAGACCAGCAGACACCAGCTGAACGCCTGAAATATGGCTAGTGATTCCTGCTCATGTAAAAGGCACAAGAGATTTTGAAGATTTAGTACTGAAAAAAAAAAAAGTAATTTCTATGACTACCAATTATGTTTTGAAATGAACATATTTTTCATATATTGGATTAAGTAAACTACTATTAAAATTACCTGTTTCTTTTTGGTTTTTTAATGTGGCTTCCCAGGTGACTCAGTGGTAAAGAACCGGCCTGCCAATGCAGGAGACATGGGTTCGATCCCTAGGTCAGGAAGATTCCCTGGAGAAGAAAATGGCAACCCATTCCAGTATCCTTGCCTGAGAAATCCCATGAACAGAGGAGCCTGGCAGGGTACAGTCCATGGGGTTGCAAAGAGTCAGACATGACTGAACACACACAAATAACAACACACAAATGTAGCTACTAGAAAATGTAAGGTTACACATGACTCTCATTTCTTGTTTTTTTTCCTCATAGTATCACAGTATATATATTTATTTTTTTAATTTTATTTTTAATTGGAGGGTAATTACTTTCTAATGTCATGTTGCTTTCTGCCATACATCAGTATGAATCAGCCATAGGTATACATATGTCCCTTCCCTCTTGAATCTCCCTCTCCGCTTACTCCCCATAACCCTGGACCAGATGGTTTGTTGTGCATAGCTGTGTAGTCCCAGACCTTCCTTGTACTAAGAATACTTTGGCTAAACTTGTGGCAGCCATGTTGGAAAGAAGGGGCAGTTTGAAGAAGCTTCTTAACCTCACACCTGGGACTCTTGTTTTCAATCAGACCTGGAAACTGAGAGAGTAGCACCGCCAAGCACTGCACTTTCTCTGGAAAAGTCTCTCGGCCCTGATTTGGTGATGACAGGGCTTGTTGGTTTCATATTTTGACTTTCTGGCCTCTTTCCCCCTCGCTTGTTGGAATCCTGGCTGCAGTTTGAGGCAGATGGGAGGAGGGGAGGCTGATGGTCGGAGTCAGATCTTTCACACTGTGTTGCTGAGGGGCCGGGAGTCAGTCATCTGTCCTCTAAAGACAGTCGAGCTTTCGGCCTTACCATCAGGATTAAGTGGGCAGGACTGAATGTCCCTGCTGGGTGTTTGTAAACTCTGAAAACCAAAGGAAAAATGTATTATGCTCAGTTAGGAAGTGCTGTGGAGTGCAGGACCTTTGAGGTTGATGAATAACTGATAAAACAGGAAGTTGGAGGAAGGCGGTACTTCAGGTGGGAAAGCACAGATCTGAAATCTGATGTGTTGCTACAGCTCCCAGTCAGACATAGGTGGGGTTGTTGTTAGGTTTCCATCTTCTGAGGAGCAGTTTTAAGGCTCTGGAGCTTAGAGATGTGAACTCAGGGTGGCTGTGGGGAAGGCAAAGTGGGGTCGGAGCCCCAGCACTCAGCCCCATGGAGACCCCGCACCCCATGCACAGAACCAGACCTTGAGCCCAGGGGAACTTCTCTTTGTCTTTAAAAGTTGAGGAGGGAGACAGGAAAGATTCAAGGTACAGATGAAACTCATTGCCTAGAAGGAAAATGGGTTAGGACTGAAATCATGCCTGGTGCCTGGTGGATGTGTGGCGTGAACTTTGACTCAGAATAAATGAGGTGTGAGTACGAGGGGGTCTCTGGCTGAATCTCCACGTGGACTCTTGTTTGGTCAGAACTGTTGGTGTTCGAGGGACGGAAACCCTGAGCTAGGCGGGCTTGGACGGGAAGGGGGCGCGTGGGTGGTGATAACTGGAAAGTGGCTCTGGGGCTCAGAGGGGTCGCCTGGGCCTAGTCCTCTCTGGGTCTTGGCTCCGCCCTCTTCCGGGTTGGCTCCTTCTCAGGCCCCATGTGGTGGCAGCTCCAGCCTGTCCATCCTCTCTGGTTTCTGGTCTCGCGAGGAAGAGTGAGGGCCTCCAGCTTGCCGGGGCAAAAGTCTCAGCCTCTGATTGGCCCAAGGCTCATCCCCAAGGGGCGTGTGAAGCCCTGATTCACTTGAGTGTGGGTCGAGTGTGGGTCTGCCCTGCTTACCTGTCTCCTTGCAGAGTGGCCCGTCCCACATGCCCTGCAGTGACCCTGTCCTCACTCTGCCTTCTCACTGAATCCCTTGGCACCACCCCCACCAGCTTGTGTTTGCTCGCCTCCTCCCAAGGTGAGGGCAGGGACTGTGATTTATTCCTGATACAGACCAGTGCCCAGAACAGTGCCAGGCTCAGAGGAAGACTTTAAATGTTTTACTGACTGTCATGTTTGTGTTAAACAGTTCATTTCGTGCAAGTGAATTTAATTATGTAATGTGAGTTAGAAGTATTTTTTTTTTGCTGCTACTGACTTCATTTCTTTTTTTTTTTTTTTATTTCTCATATTTCTTTTTTTTTTTTTTTTATTTATCACAACCATAGTGTATCTTTTTTTTTTTTTTAACATGTATTCCCCATCCCGGTCCCCCCTCCCACCTCCCTCTCCACCCAATCCCTCTGGGTCTTCCCAGTGGACTTCATTTCTAATGAAAGTAACAGTTACAGTAGTTGAAATGTGCTGGCATTTGTTGAATGAAGTAATTCTCATTTAACTTTGTTCAGCATTTACGTAACTGGTCTTTGCTCCTGCAGGTGACATTGTGGGTCTGTATGACGAAGGCGGTCAGCTGGCCACTGGGATCCTAACCCGCATCACCCAGAAAGCGGTCACCGTGGCCTTTGACGAGTCCCACGATTCCCAGCTGAGTTTGGACCAAGAGCATTCCTACAGACTGTTGAAGCTTGCCAACGACGTGACTTATAAGCGACTAAAAAAGTAAGTGTGCGTAACTGGAAATCACACGTACTGCTGCTGCTGCTAAGTCACTTCAGTCATGTCCGACTCCGTGCGACCCCATAGACGGCAGCCCACCAGGCTCCCCCATCCCTGGGATTCTCCAGGCAAGAACACTGGAGTGGGTTGCCATTGCCTTCTGTGGAAATCACACGTACATTTGCCCTAAACATATCTCATTCCTGCTGGAGAAGATGGCAAGCACCTGTGGTCTGGGGTTGGTTTCGTGCCCCTTGAGGGAGATGGTGGTTTTTCCTGGCTCAGACAGTAAAGAATCTGCCAGCAATGCAGGAGGCCTGGGTTCCATCCCTGAGTTGGGAAGACCCCCTGGAGGAGGAAATGGCAACACTCCAGTGTTCTTGCCTGGAGAATCCCCACGGACAGAGGAGCCTGGCGGGCTACAGTCCATGGGGTCATAAGGAGGTGGACATGGCTGAGCGACTCAGCACACAGCTCTGCCGTGGAGGTGGTTGGGCGCTGGCGGCGGCGGGCCTCAGGCGCTGTGTTAGTCCTACTTGTCCCTAAGCTCCTCATTCTGTCCCTTGGCAGAGCTCTGACTTCCCTAAAGAAGTATCACTCTGGCCCTGCGTCCTCTCTCATAGAGGTCCTCTTCGGCGCATCGGACCTCAGTCCTCCCAGCGAGATGCGTAAGAGCTTTTGGTTTTCCTTTCCTGATTGAAGTCACTATGGGTAGTATTGTGACCGGTGTGACCACAACCAGTGTGATCTTGGGCGATTTTAACAAGAGTTTCCGAATGCTCAGGGAGAAGTTTAATTTAGTGTCTTTTTATAAACTTCTTTATGTGACTTTCTTGAAAAAGTCAATTGCCTGCACAGAGTGTCAAAGAAGTAGCTCATTCCACTGTTTTTTTTTTTTTAAATAATGCTGTTTCTAATGTATCTGAATATTTTATTTTGAAGTGGGAGGATATTTTTTCTGTGTAAGTGACCTGAGAGAACAGAGGATAGCCAATCATATTGGGTTGGCCGAAAGGTTCGTTTGAGTTTTTCCATAAGGTGTTCCTCATTGACTATGCTAAAGCCTTTGACTGTGTGGATCACAGCAAGCTGTGTAATAAAAATTCCCACTCTTAAAGAGATGGGAATACCAGACTACCTTACATGCCCCCTGAGAAACCTGTATGCAGGACAAGAAGCTACACTTAGAACTGGACATGGAGCAACAGACTGGTTCAAATTTGGAAAAGGAATATGTCAAGGCTGTATATTGTCACCCTGCTTATTTAATTTATATGCAGAGTACATCATGCTAAATGCTGGACTAGGTGAATCACAAGCTAAAATCAAGATTTCTGGGAGAAATATTAAGAACCTCAGATATGCAGATGATACCACTTTAATTGGCAGAAAGTAATGGGGAACTTTACAGCCTCTTGATGAAGGTGAAAGAAGAGAGTGAAAAAGCTGGTTAAAATTGAGCATTCAAAAAATGAAGATCATGTCATTCAGTCCCATCACTTCATGGCAAATAGATGGGAAAACAATGGAAACAGTGTCAGACTTTATTTTTGGGGGCTCCAGAATCACTGCAGATGGTGACTACAGCCATGAAATTAAGAGAGTCTTGCTCCTTGGATGAAAAGCTATGTCAGACCTGGACAGTGTTTTATAAAACAGAGACATCACTCTGCCAACAAAGGTCCATCTAGTCAAACATGTGGTTTTCCAGTAGTCATGTATGGATGTGAGAGTTGGACCACAAAGAAAGCTGAGTGTCAAAGAATTGATGCTTTTGAACTGTGATGTTGGAGAAGACCCTTGAGAGTCCCTTGGACTGAAAGGAGATCCAACCAGTCAATCCTAAAGGAAATCAACCCTGAATATTCACTGGAAGGACTGATGCTAAAGCTGAAGCTCTAGCTCTAGTACTTTGGCCACCTGATGCAAAGAGCCGACTCATTGAAAAAGACCATGATGCTTGGAAAAATTGAGGGCAAGAGGAGAAGGGAACAGAGGATAGGATGGTTGGATGGCATCACTGACTCAATGGACATGAGTTTGAGGGAACTCAGGAGATAGTGGAGGACAGAGGAGCCTGGCGTGCTGCAGTTCATGGGGTCGAAAGGAGTGGGACACGACTTAGCCGCTGAACAACAGCAGCAGCAGCATACGGTGTTACGGAAAACGTGACACCCACAGGCTCCACCCTGAGCTGCCCACTGCAGAGGCGACCATGCTGACTCCGTGGGCCCAGGGTGCTGACCCGGACAGATTAGACTGAAACACGCCTGCATCAGAGCCTCGGAGCCAGAGCTCCTGCGTGTGTCCTGGTCCTCCACACCGCGTCCCTGCTCCCCTGGATGCCGGCTGCAACCAGGGCACCTTGTGTTCCCTGAAACAAAGCTGAGACGGTGCTCGTTTCTGTTAACACCTATAGGATGTTACAGAAAAATCTCAACAAACCTTTTGGCCAACCCAGTGCTTTATGCTTGATAGCATTTTTTAATGATTTGAAGAATCTCAGTCCTCAATACCTCTGATTATTTTTTCTGTGTCCTTCAAATTGAGGACAGCTTATATCTGATTGTAAGTGTGACGTGTGTTCGTCGCAGAACATTTGGAAATAAAGTAGCATGTAAATAAGGGGAAGGAAATCACTAAAACACCTGTCACATAGAGTTAGCCTCACTGATGGGCGTGTGTATTCAGATAGCTATTTCTCCACATCCATGTAGAACAGGGTGTCTCTTTCACTTACAGCCCCCCCCCCCCCACACACACCCACTGTTCTCACTCATGGTGGTCTGTGCACTCTCTCATCTCCTTCAATGTCTGGGAAAACCTCATTTTGGAAGGGGTTTGTTACCTAACCCTAATTCACTGAACAGTTCTCCAGACGTCGGACTTGCCGGTTTATACACCATCTCTTCAGTGGTTCTAACACAAGGGCCACCCCACGCCCTTTTCTTTACCCTTGTGCTAATACCCTGGCGGTGCTGTCTCTGAGCTCAGGGCTGCTTCCTACGGGGTTGGCCAAAAAAGTTGTTCAGGTTTTTCTGTAACATCTTACAAACTTATTGCCAGCTCGACGCTTTCTCAAATTCTGAAAGCACATTTAAATGAGATTTTGTTTCTGGGCTTCCCTGGTAGCTCAGTCGTAAAGAATCTGCCTGCCAATGCAGGGGGTCTGGGTTCGATCCCTGGGTTGGGAAGGTCCCCTGGAGAAGGGAATGGCAGCCCACTCTAGTATCCTTGCCTGGAGAATTCCATGGACAGAAGAGTGTGGAGGGCTGCAGTCCATGGGGTTGTGAAAGAGTGGGACACAACTTAGCAAGTGAACAACAACAAGAGCTACACATACACAATTACAACCTGTCAGTTTTCTCAAAGAAGGTTTTATTTCCGCCACCCAGTTACTGAGAGGCTGCTCTGAGCACCATCCTTGCTGTGTTTCAAGCTGCGTAGTGTGCCCTGATTGTATCCAGCATCCAGGGGAGCAGGGATGCGGTGTGAAGGGCCAGGATGCATGCAGGTGCTCTGACTCACAGGTTCCCATGCTTCCTGCAAGTGTGTCTCAGTCTCACCCTGAGCCTGCACGGTCAGCCAGCACAGTCGTCTCAGCAGTGGGCTCCGTGGGGTGGAGGCCGCGGACTCGGGGCTGGACCCAGCAGCACCGGCTCTGAGCACAGAGCTTACGAGGCAGACCGTTGGTCTCACGGAAGATTCAGATTAGAAATACCGTCCTGGATCTGCTAGTGATTCTTTTTCATGTTTGCTTTTGTTGTTTTATGGGCACATGAAAAGGAACACGAGGGTGGGAACAGATACGTTCCAAGAGACATTTACTTCCCAGGAGTCCGATTCTCTGGAGTATGAGTTGGCCGACTTGGTTAGTAATGGGACAGGTGGTGGACACTCCAGGCTGTGCTGGCCGGTGCAGCGGCGAGTGGCCAGGGTGGGGCGCCTGTGGATTCCTATCCAGGGGAAGACTTTTAAAAGCTAAGCAGGTTGACTTTGTGTTTCTGCTGACCCAGGGGAGGGCCAGCTCTCGCCCCGTCACATGGCATCCTGTATTTCCATCAGGGTGGGGATGAGGGAATGGCACCGAGTCACGGGGAGCCCGAACCTCACTGTCGCTTGTCCCGCAGCCCCGCTGACCTTCTGCAACCCCGCCCTGGACGCCTCCCAGCAGGAAGCGGTCCTGTTCGCGCTGTCCCAGAAGGAACTCGCCATCATCCATGGGCCCCCGGGAACGGGGAAGACCACCACCGTGGTGGAGATCATCCTTCAAGCTGTGAAACAGGGCTCAAAGGTGGGCGTGGGCGCCGAGTCCCCACAGACACCCGTCACTCGGGTCTGCTGTGCTCGCAGGCCCCTGGAGGGCCCCAGTCTGGGTTCCAGGACTCGTGTAGGGACGTTCCCACGCGCTTCCTGACTCACCACGAGGCTGCGCCCCTGTTGGTGTCTGACAGCCCCGGGGGTCTGGGCCTGAACTCGGGGCTCTGGGTCTGGACTGGGGAGGCCTGGGCACTGTCCGCCAGGCCACAGTCCAGGAGCCACCCGCTCAGCGCCCGTGCTGTGTGCTCAGGCCCTGCTGGGCATGCAGGTGGCCGGGCCCGTCTGTGCCCTTCAGGAGAGGGCCCTGTGGCCGGATGGGAGACAGAGCTTTTTTGGTTAATTTGAGGGTCCTGTTAGTTGTGCAGATGGCAGGTTCCCAGTTCCTGAGATGTGGGCTGTGATGGTGTGTGTTACTGTTCATGTAGATTGTTAATGGTTGAGAGAGGCTCTTTCAATCTCAACACGAGTCATCGTGGATTCCGAGCACGTGAAACGCTTGTTAAGAAACCTTTCTGGGTCATAAATGTTGGATAAGGATAAGAACTGGAGCAGTGACAGTCAACATCTGTAGGTCGACGTTCCCTGGGTCCTTCTTACGAACCAGGCACCCGTCTAAGCCTTTGCAGCGTTTGCTCCTTCAGTCCTCACAGAGACGGGTGTCCCAGCCCTGACTGACCATTCCAGGACACTTTGAGGCCTTTCCTTCTGGTTGCCAGTCAACTTTTCTGGTCTTTGGGAGCCCAGTAGTTTCTTTTGACCTGAGGTCTAGAACCCAGATGTTGTGTCCGTGTGCAGCAGCATGTCCTTCAGGCCATCTGCACTGGTCCTTACAGCTGGACGTTTACCCCGTAGCGTTACCAGCTGTACACGCTCCACCCTGCTCTCTTTAACTTTAGGACTTTCCACTTGTTCTAATGCAAACTTAGGTGATTCGTTTAGGAAGGAGCCCCAGGCCGAGCTTGAGCTGTGTCCCTGCAGGTTCTGTGCTGCGCGCCCTCTAACATCGCTGTGGACAATCTCGTGGAGCGGCTGGCCCAGCGGAAGCAGAGGCTTCTCCGCCTCGGCCACCCGGCGCGCCTCCTCGACTCCATCCAGCAGCACTCACTGGATGCGGTCTTAGCGCGGAGCGACAGCGCCCGGATCGTGGCCGACATCAGGAGGGACATTGACCAGGCCTGGGTGAGCAGCTCTCGGCCGTGTCCGCTCCTCATGTGGTTCTCTGGTCTGCGGTCTTTGCCAGGAGCGTGTGGGCATCCTCTGGTGTTTCTCTGGTCTTCGCTGAGTCACAGACTGGGCTGAAACATTGGGCCTGCCCGTATCTGATGGAGACCTGTGCTCAGTACTGAATGGGGAGTGACTGTCTTCAGGGTAGTTTTGTGAAGAGGCGAGCGGTTGTCTTGCAGGAAACATTGCTCTTAAGGGCTCCCTGTGTCTGTCATGTTGGCTGGGTAGTAATGACAAGGGGAAAAAGAGCAGCCCCAAAGTAAAAACTCAGAAAATACGTGTCCTTCCTAAATTTTTAGTCCATTAATATAAAACACCATGTGGGGGCTTCCCTGCTGGTCCAGTGGTTAAGAATCCGCCTGCCAGTGCCGGGGATGCAGGTTTGACCCCTGACCTGGGAAGACCCCACGTGCTGCGGAGGAGTAAAGCCCGTGTGCTCCACAGCTGTTGAGCCTGTGCTCTTGAGCCCAGAGCTGTGCTCTTGAGCTCCTCAGCGAGAGAAGCCACCGCAATGAAAAGCCCACGCACAGCAGTGAGGACCCAGCTTAGGCAGAAAGGAAAAAGAAAGCGGAATGTAATCCTGGTGAGAAAGAGCTCGGTAGGTGACGGGTCAGTGGGAAGCGGAGTTTTTAGAACTTTCACACTCTCTGGTTCCCTAGGTTACATGTCCCCCCAGCCCCTGATTCCCTCAGTTGCATGCCTGCCCTGTGTTTGCTCACCGCCAGCCCACCTCCTTGTGTCCCGGCATCACAGGGCCGGCGAGGAGACTCGGCCTTCCCCGAGGTCCGCAGGGTAGCAGGAACACTGTGGGCAGACAGGACGCTCGCAGGGTCCCTCACGGTTAAAGATGCCGGAGGACTCTGCACTGATGGGGCTCATGCCGCCGCACGTGTGGGTGGATTCGTTTTCTTGGTCCCGATTTTATTTTTTAATTTTTTTGGCTGAGCTGTGGGGCATGTGGGATTTAGTTCCCCAACCAGGGATCAAACCCGTGCCCCCTGCACTGAAGTGAGTGCAGAGTCTTAACCACCGGACCACCACGGACATCCCCTTTGTTCCTCTTTCAACTCGTGCTTTTTAGGGGTCTCTTCTCTGTAAGGTAGGCGTCCCACTTGTCACTCCTACCGAAATACCTTCTCCAAGTAGAAACCACAGATAAGGGAGGGGTCACGTGCCTTTCGAGTGTGGAAGTGAGCCAAGGTCTAGGTGAACATTGAGGGGCTGTGGCAACTATTTCACTCTGCTCACGAGTGTGGGAAACGGAGAGGAGCTCAGCCCCCCTTTGTGTAAACCCTGGGGCCCAGCCCCGCAGCAGCAGGCGCTCTTTCTTCCCCAGCACTTCTCATGAGTGCGGGGCGGGGCTGGCTCCCCTGGGCTGTTTACTGTCCTCGGGGCCCCTCGCTCTCCCCCGGCCTCCCCCTGCGCCGCCGACAGTGGCTCTGAGGGCCCTGAGGCCAGTCAGGACGTCGCCTACGTGGATCTGTTGCTCTTTCAGGAAAGCCTTTTGACTTTTAAAAAATGTATATATAATGTATTTATTTATTTGGCTGCCCTGGGTCTTAGTTGAGGTACACAGGATCTTTAGTCGTGGCATGTGGACCCTAGTTCTCCCACCAGGGATCAAACCCAGGCCTGCTATACTGGGCGCGCAGAGTCCTAGCCCCTGGACCACTAGGGAAGTCCCAAGAATTTTGACTTTTTATCACCTTCAAAGGACCTTAGGCAAGCGGATCAATTGATGATAAATAAAAGTGCTTTGTGAATTAGACCTAAAAAAAGCAAAGTTGAGTCAGAATTATTATCTTTCCTTTTCTTTGTAGGTGAAAAACAGGAAGACCCAGGATAAGAGAGAAAAGAGTAATTTTCGAGATGAAATCAAGCTGTTGCGGAAGGAACTGAAGGACAGGGAGGAGGCAGCAATGCTGGAGAGCCTGGCGGCAGCCAGTGTCATCCTCTCAACAAACACAGGTGAGGGGCCCAGCGTCCACCACCCCGCCTGCCTCAACGCCCTGCGTAGGGTTGGGGATGTGCCCGCTTCCTCCACTTTCTGGGAGCGTTTCACAGAGTTGTCTTTAAAATCTGGTAGAAAGCACCAGTGGAGCCCTTCTCGGTCTAGAGTTTTTCTCAGGAAGTTTTTAATTGCAAATTCAGTTTCCTTAATTGTCATAGAATATTCAGGGTGTCTCTCCTTAAGTGAGCTTGTGTCTTTCAAGGAATTTGTCTGTTTAATCTAAGTTGTTGAGTTCCCAAGCATAAAATTGTTCACAGTAACCCCTTATCATTAAAAAAAAACATCTGTAGCATCTGTGACAGTGTTACCTCTTTCACTTCTGATATTGGTAACTTGTATCCTATTTTTTTTCCTCTGATCTTCTGGCAAGAGGGATATTAATTTTACTGATCTCCTCAAAGCACCAGCTTTTGGTGTCAGCAGTTTTCTCTGTAATTTTCCTGTTTTCTGTTTCATTGATCTCGGCATTGGTTCGTATGCTCTCTGGAATTAAATTCCTCTGAAATTAAATTAATTTTCTCATTTAATTCCTCTCTGTCTGCTCGCCTGGGTTTAGTTTGCTCTTAGTTTCTCTTTTCTTTGGGTGGAAGTGGAGGTCTTTGGTTTGTATTGATTTGAGACCGTCATCTTCTATGCTGTAGGCATTTAGTGTTATAAGTGTTGCCCCATGTGCTATTTCCATGGCTTCCCTGAACTTCTGATGTGTCATGTTTACATCTTCATTTATTGTGAAATACCGTCTCATTTCCCTCTTCTTTTTCACCCATGGTTATTTAGAAGCATGTCATTCTCTTTCCACATATTTGGGGATTTTCCAGGTATCTTCCTATGGTTGATTTCTCACTTAATTCCACGTGGGCAGAGGACATACTGTGTACAACTTGGATCATTTCATCGAGACTTGTTTCATGGTCCAGAATGTGGTCTTTGTGAGTGTCCTGTGCACACCTGAATGCGTTCCTTGGTTCTGTTGTTTCCTGTCATGGTTGATACTGTGGTTCAAGTCAGTATCCTTACTGATTTCCTGTCTTCTTATCCTATCACTTACCGAGAGAGGGGTGTTGAAATCAACTGTAATTGTACATCTGTTTGTTTCTTCTTGGAGTTCTGCCAGTGTTTGCCCCATGTCCTTTGTAGCTCTCTTATTAGGGGCTTGAATGTTATGTATTCTTTATTAATTAACCAATTGTCATCCTGAAACGACCTTCTTTATCCCTAGTATGTCCTTTTTTTTGAAATCTTATTATTATTTAGTCGTTCAGCTGTGTCCGACTCTGCAACCCCAGGAACTGTGGCCCACCAGGCTTCTCTGTCCGTGGGATTCTCCAGGCAGGTATACCTCAGTGGGTTGCCGTGCCCTCCTCCGGAGTATCTTCCCGACCCGGGGATCGAACTTTGGTCTCTTGTGTCTTCTGCACTGCAGCAGATCCTTTACCCCTTGCCCCCTGGGAAGGCTTCTGAAGTCTGCTTTGGTATAAAAACAGCCACTCCAGCTGGAAACCACGTTTGGCGGCTTTAGGCCTTTCTGATGGGGCCACTTGATCCTTAAAAGCCAGCGAGTAAGAATAGTGTTGTAGTAAGATGGGTTAGTTTTCGTTAACGTCACCACGACCTGAACCCCCCATCACCTTGGCCGTATTCTGTTGGCTTGAAGCAAGGCCCGGGTCTGACCCACACTTCAGGGAAGGGGCTACACGGGGTGTGGCTGCTAGGAGGCCAGGGTCAGGATTGGGTGGGCGGCCTTGAGGGTCTTCTGCCGCAGCCTCTCACAGGGGCTGCTCTCAGGAACAGAGCCCAGCTGCTGATTCACTCTGTAATTATTGCTTTGTCCAGTTTCTTTTAGATCAGACGGGATGAAAACAGAATCGCACAAAGGCTGTCGCGCTGCCTGTCACCCCTAGCCGTGTCGTTGCCTTTGCTGGGGCCTTTGCTCCTTTTGTAGATCTGTGCTCCTCTCCAGGGTCCTTCATGCCACCCTGAAAGACTCTCTTTAGCATTTCTCCAAGGGCAGGCCTCAGTGTTTCTTTATCTTGGGGTACCTTTTTCTCCTCTGTTTCCGAGGGACTGGTTGGAGGCGTCGTTCTCGGTTGACAGCGTGGGTCGTATGAACGTGCCGCCCCTGCCCTCTGCCTCCACGGTTTCTCACGAGACAGCAGCGTCAGTCTCTCTCAGGATCCACTGCTTTCTTTGTCTTCCGGCAGCTTGACTGTGACGAGTCTCCCGTGACTCCCTCTGGGTTAGGCACGTGGAGTTTGTTGAGTCTCCTAGGTCTGTGCGCTGTTTTTGGTCAGATTCGTGAAGCTTCCCAATTCCATTATTTTCCCAATACTCTTTGGCCCCTTTCTCTCTCCTTTCCTTCTCGGGCTCCTGTGATATGCTTGTTGGCACCCTTGACGGTGTCCTATGGGTCTCCGAGGTGCTGGGCATTGCCCTTCATTATTTTTTTGTTCAGTTTCTCCAACTGAATAATTCAGCTGGCCTGACTTCAAGTTTGCTGGTTCCTCTGCCTGTTCAAATCTGCTGTTGAGCTCTTCCAGTGAATTTCAGTTATCATACTTTTCAACTGCAGAGTGTGTGATTTTTTTTAGTGGCTTAAATCATTTATTTTTTTCTTTTTATTTTATACCAGAGTATAACTGAATTATAACGCGAGTTTTGGTTGGTTTTTTTAAGGTAATTTCTGTCGCTTTATCGATAGTCTTGGATGGACATCATTCTCAGGCAGCCCTTTATCTCATTAGACGAGGCTTCCTTCTTCTCTTTGTACACATCTAAAGTAGCTGATGTTAAAGTGTGTGTTTGGTAAGTCCACCATCTGGGCCTTCTCAGGAATGGTTTCTGTTGATCGCTTTTCATCTGTGAGTGGGCCATACTTCATTTCCTCGTGTGTCTTGTAATTTTTTGTTGGAAACTGACCATTGTAAATGGTCCCGTGTGGGACGCTGGAGGGCAGGTCATCTTCCCTCCCCCGGTTTGTTTCTGCTCCGGAGTCGTTGTCCGTCCAGCAGTTTTCCCGGGCAACCCCTTGTCCTGGGCGCCGCTGCAGCCCTGCTCCCTTAGCTCATGGCAGGTGATGGTTGGATGGAGGCCCCCAGGTCCTGGGACCCCCGAACCGCTCTGTGTCCAGGAAGGAGGAACTAGGAAAGCACATAAAAAGAGAATTAACTAAGTTCTAAATTCAGAAAATGATACAGAAGTAGTATTTAGAATTAAGGCAGCCTTCTTTGCGGTCCCAGCCCCAGAAGGGAGATTGACTTTGGTCACTGAAGCGTTGGGCTGGCCCATGGCCAGGGCACACCACTTCACACTTAAACATAGGGGCTAGAACCACGAGCCCTGGCACGTCTTGCTGACCCTTATTCCAAGAGGCAAACCTATCACACAAGCTTTAGTGAGCAGTCAGACTGTGAACTGGTGGCTCGTTGGGTCTCGTCCGGGGTGACTGCAGCTGCCAGCACTTCTGTGAAGGCTCACAGCTTTGGTTCCCACCAGGCGCCTCTGCGGACGGCCCGCTGAAGCTGCTGCCCGATGGCCACTTCGATGTGGTGGTCATCGACGAGTGTGCCCAGGCCCTGGAAGCCAGCTGCTGGATACCCCTGCTGAAGGCCCGGAAGTGCGTCCTGGCTGGGGACCACAAGCAGCTGCCGCCCACCATCGTCTCCCACAAGTGAGCCCCCCGCCCCTCACCTGCCACCCCCCGTGCATCCCTCCAAGCCCGGCTCAGAAGCCCAGGCTCACCCAGAGGCCCTGGACTAGCGGGGAAGCCCGGCCCATGGACTGAGATAAGACTGCGGGGGGCAGGTGGCGCCCTCAGCATCCGAGCCCCCACTTAGGGGAAGGAAAACCCGGGGTCATTTTGATTGAAGGTGCAGTTTCAGTTACACCCACACAGAGCAAGTAGGGTCTCACAATGTGTGACTTAGAGGCCCTGGAGGTGGAGGTGCGGTGAGCAGGGGAGGGAGGTGGCTGGCCCGGGTCAGCAGCAGGCAGGGCTGGAGGGCAGGTAGCAGACCTGTCACAGGTGGTGGGGGCGGAGGTCACTAGCCTTTCCCCAGCTTCGGGCTCTATGGGGATTGTGGAAGGGGCCCTGGGTGAAGCAGCGCGGGAGCTGACGGTGGGACCTCTGAGCTTAGGGCTTCTCTGGACACGCGGACACTGGTGTGAGCCGGTGGTCACACCGTGACACCCCCGGGGCCGCGACTCCGGGAACAGAGCTGTTGCTCACCCCCCGGGGGTGCCGTCCACGGTTGCGCCCATGCTCGTTCCTGCAGACGACAGCTCGTCCAGACCCTGAGCTCCTTGAGGGTGGGTCACCTGGCGCCCATCCCGTGGCCTCAGCCTGGCGTGTGCCCAGGCCCCGCCTGAGTGGGCATCCCCTAAGGTGTGAGGTGGAGGTGTGAGACTTGGGCGTGTGAGCGAGGCTGTCAGTGGAGCTGGCAAGAGGGGAGTGGGGACCCCAGAGCTGAGGGGCATGCAGGTCAGGGTCCCACAGGGAGACGGCGTCCAGTCACCGGGGGCTTCAGAGTGAGGATCTGGAGGGGACTTTGGGCTGGATAAAGGGGGGATGGGAGTGTGCTTTGGAGGATTGTCCTGTGGGAGCCAGATGTCTGGGTAGGGGCGGGCATGGACGCTGTCCAGGAGGAGGGCTCGGGGGCCTCGGCTCAGCGGCTGGCTCCTGAGGAGGCCTGAGGGGTCCTGCGAAGCCGGCCTCTGCGGGCCGCGTGCCCTCGGGGAGGCGCGCGGAGCTGTCTCTGGGGGAAGTCGGGTGATTTGAGGGGACGTGTGGGGTGGGCTCATGCTGGGTGTTTCTGGGTTTGCGATTGGGATTGGGGTCCCTTCACTCCTTACACCCACAGCCCTGCTGTTGGTAGGCGCCTGTACTGAACAGCGGTAACCCAGGGAGGTTAGGAGGGAGCGTAGGGCCTGCGGCAGGCCCGGCACTGTCCCTCGGTGGGCCGAGGACGGCTCTGCACCCAGCTGGGTCCTGGCTCCGCGGCTCGCTGGTGGATGTGGGCACTTCCGGGGGGCTGTTCCCTTAGTTCTGAGAGGGATGTGGGCTGCGGTTTGAGGCCTGCCTTCTGCCTGGCCCCTGGTTCAGGCTGCACTCGGGACTCGGGCCCCTTTGAGGCCTGCCTCCCACCCAGCCCCTGGTTCAGGCTGCTCTCCCCGGGCAGGGCTGCGCTGGCAGGGCTGTCGCTCAGCCTGATGGAGCGCCTGGCGGAGCAGCACGGGGCCGGGGCTGTGCGGATGCTGACGGTGCAGTATCGCATGCACCAGGCCATCGCGCGCTGGGCCTCAGAGGCTCTGTACCACGGTCAGCTCACCGCTCACCCTTCTGTGGCCGGGCACCTCCTGAGGTGAGTGACTCAGCTGTACCCCGCCCTGTGTCCCCTGAACTGCATTCCGTAAAGATGTGGGTGTGAAGGTTGCCTCTGAGACCGGATTTCTGGCCAGAGCGCTGGGTTGGGCTCCTCCAGGATGAGGTCCTCCAATCACCATCAGTGTGCTCACCTCCCCCTGCTGTCCAGTGTGGGGTCAGGGCTGGGGAGGGGGCGGGAAGGGCGGCGGGGCCTGCCCCTCACCGGGGCCTCCTGTGTTCAGTGTCGGCCTGTGTGCAGGGACCTCCCAGGCGTGGCGGCCACCGAGGAGACAGGCCTGCCCCTGCTGCTGGTGGACACGGCCGGCTGCGGGCTGCTGGAGCTGGAGGAGGAGGACGAGCAGTCCAAAGGGAACCCCGGTGAGCAGGCTGGCTTGGGCCCCTCTCAGCAGCCGGCGTCAGAGAGGAGCCGCGGGAGGGCAGGGGCGGGGCCCTGAGCCAGGCGCCCCGGGAGGTGCAGCACCATGGGCGTGCTTGATGGGCAGGCGGGCCTGGGTCAAGGCAGAGGGGGCCCAGGCAGTGACGGGCCTCCCTCGGGGCAGCCAGGTGGGCAGGGGGCACAGCTGCTCCTCCCCTGAAAGAGGAAGCCCTGTCCGTGGGGGGCCCTGGGCCTCGAGTGCAGGATCCAGCGTCCCCTCCCAGGAGGCCACCGCAGGCCGAGTGTGAGAGCCGCCTGCCGTCACAGCTGGAAAAGTGCTTAGAAAACCAGCTCTGGTGACAGGCATCCGTGGAGCATGCCCCCCGTGCTGAAGGGCCGTCCATCCCCCCCAGGTGAAGTGCGCCTTGTCAGCCTGCACGTCCAGGCGCTGGTAGACGCGGGTGTCCGGGCCGCCGACATCGCCGTCATCACGCCGTACAACCTGCAGGTGCGTGTCGGGGTGGCCCCCTACCAGAGGCGCCGGCAGGGCAGGGTGACCTCAGCAAGAGCCCCCGTCCGTCGTCCGTCCGTCCCCTGGCGGTGCCTTCCCCACCCCGTCCCAGGTTTCACTGGCTCCCTGTGCCAGCTGATTTTCGGGCCTGCCCTTGGGGGCCGGGTAGCCTCGGGCTGACGTCCTGCCACGCGCTCCCAGGGTGGCCTTACGGTGTACCCGTGGGAGCCTTGCCTTCGAGTCTCCAGTCTGACTCAGGTTGGCCCATACCTGAGCTGGTGGCTGTGGCCAGTTGCGAGGTTCTTGCTCCCTCTCGAGTTGGCTCTCCAGCTCATGGAACACCGCAGGGCTGGGCGTCTCTGGAGGCTGCCCGGGGAAGGTCAGGAGCGCTGGCTGGAGAAGGGTGCGGTGGTGGGCAGCAGATGCCCTAGACGTCTCCTCCCTTCTCTGGGACTTTTTTCCCATCTCCCCTCTCAGGGCCCATATGCTCACGAAGCAAAGCCTGTCTCCTTTGGTAGGAAGAACGCATCTGCCTCACAGATCGTGAGGTCCGTGGATCAAATGCCATCCTGGTTTAGAGGCGTCAGGCCTGGGGGTGTCTGAGCCAAAGCCGTGATGGCGTGAACATCCGTGTTGGGGTGTGGGTCACCCCTGCCACGTTTGTGTGCTGCTTTGTGGTTCATGCGCACGCCCGTGGGAAGCAAGGTGTTCAGAAGCCATCACCCCAAGGCGGCTGCGGCCCCCCTGGGCAGGGCGGCTGTGCAGGCCAGGCCTCCGCCTGGTTGCAGGGCAGCGTGTTGGGCCGCCCGACCTGAGCTGTGTGGCAAGGCCTGGCTTGGTGTTGCAGGTGGACCTGCTCAGACAGAGCCTCGCGCACAGGCATCCGGAGCTTGAGATAAGGTCCGTTGACGGCTTCCAGGGCCGGGAGAAGGAGGCTGTGATCCTGTCCTTCGTCAGATCCAACAGGAAAGGTGTGGGGCTGGGGCTTCCCGGTAGTCCAGTGGTTAGGACTCAGTGTTTCTGCTGCCCAGGGCCCAGGTTTGATCCCTGGTTGCGGAACTGGGACCTCACGAGCCTCTCGAGGTGGTTGTGGAGGGGGGCCCCCGAGAGCCCAGAGCTCATCTCCTGGCCCCAAGGCCAGATTAGCCTCAGGGCCTGGTTTCTGCAGCCAGGGCTTGTGGATATTCCATCGGGTAAGAATTTTTTCCCCAGAAACAGTTGTTAGTGAATGGGCTCTGTCAGGTCGAAAACAGAGAAGGAGGGGGTAAACGGAGGCCAGGAGGAGTGCGCTGGAAGGTCCCTCTTGTGCTGGCTGCGGCCCGGGCTGTGTCCTGGCTCTGGGCTCCGGCAGAGTACTCTGTACTACCTTGGGGACGAGTGGCAATCGTCACTGCCCGAGCCCCAGGCAGGACTAGAGAACCGTCCTAGACAGCAGCCGGGGGAGCCTGTGGACGGGACCCCACCGCCGGACGGACAGAGCCCGGGCAGATCTGGGGGGGGCGGCGGCCGGGGGAGCCTGCCTTCCTGTCCCTTAGTCTCTGCTCTCCGCGCCCCGGGCTTGTGTTCAGGTGAGGTGGGCTTCCTTGCCGAGGACCGGCGCGTCAACGTGGCGGTCACCCGTGCACGGCGCCACGTGGCCGTGGTCTGCGACTCCCGCACTGTCAGCAACCACGCCTTCCTGAAGGCCCTGGTGGACTACCTCACAGAACACGGGGAGGTGCGCACGGCCTTTGAGTATCTCCATGACATCGTCCCTGAGAACTACTCCCACGAGGGCGCCCAGGCAGGCGGGAAGCCCCGGGGCTCTGCTGCGACGGGCAGGAGGGCCCCTGGGGGGACCGGGCCGGGCCGGAAGAAGCTCAGCGGAACGCCCTTGGGCTCCTCTGAGGCGCAGCCTCAGCCCAGCCTGGACGGAGGCGGCCGGGAAGGCGCCGGGAGCACAGATGGCGCAGACGGCTTCAGGGCTGCGATCACGGAATTCGTGGCGAGCGAGAAGACGCAGCTGGAGTTCCCTGCCTCCCTGAACTCGCACGACAGGCTGCGGGTCCACCAGATCGCCGAGGAGTTCGGGCTGAGGCATGACAGCACCGGGAAGGGGAGGGAGCGCTTCGTCACGGTGAGCAAGAGGGTCCCGCCTGCCCCCGCAGCTCTGGCACCCCCTGCGGGGCCCGGCGGCAGAGCCCCTCTGTGTCCCGAGACCCCCAGCTCCAAGCAGCCGGAGCCCCCCATCGGGGAGCCGAGCAGCCAGGACCAGCTGGACCTGAAGGCGCTGCACCTGGAGAGACTGCAGAGGGCGGGGGCCAGGGAGGGGCCCCGTGCCCCGGGCCCTGCACCCCGGAAGTTACCGGAAAAGAAGAAGAAGAAAGACGCGAGAGGTAAGCTGGTCGGCTCGAGGGAGCACAGGCATGGTGTCCCTTCCACTGGGAGTGTGAGGCCCCCCCTGCCACCGTGAGGAAGCAGGACGCCTCCCGCGGGGCCCCTGCCTGGGTCCTGCATCTTGAGCCCCAAGCCCCCGCGGGCCACGCTGGCCTCGGCGGCCTCTGTTCCTGGGCCCTTGTGCAGGGTCCCGCCGGGCCACCGGAGCTCCTCCTGCGGGGAGAGGGCCGGGGGAGCAGCCACGGTGGGCAGGGCCCGGGGGCGCAGAGGGTCACGGCGGCCACAGGCCGCGGCGCTCCTTCCGCGGGCTCTGGGGTCCCCAGCAGGGCCGTGCGCTCCGCCATCAGGGCCGCGCTGGCCTCCCCCAGGCGCCCACGGGCTGTTCGCTCCGCCCGCCTCCCACCCCCACGCAGTGTCGCTAGGAGGCCGAGAGTCCAGGGCAGGGCCTGGCTCTTCTGGGCCCTTGTCACAGCCGCGTCCCTCTAGGCAAGGCCATGGGGTTAGTCCTGTTCCCCGGGCCCCGGAGCCCCTGGGAGCACAGCCCAGAGCCGCCTCTCCGCCTCGGGCCTGTGTGCGCTTGCTCCGCATTGTGAGCGGCCTCTGTGTGCCGGGCTCTGCGCTGGGGGACAGGAGACGCCGTCCCCCCGACGGGAGTGGACACCCCACTCCTGCCTCCACCACGCTCAGAACACGTGACTACATGGGCGTGGCTGCATGATGGTCCTCCCTTCGGAGGAGGGTGTGGGGCGTGGCCACCTGAGAACAGTGACCCAGGGAGACGGCCCATCTCAGTGGAGCTGACACCCTGGGCTTCTTCAGGCCGCTGGAATTAAGACGTCATTTAGGAATTATAATCGTGTCTCCTTCACCCTTCTGAGCGTTTTCCTACAACTTTAAAGGATTTCCACACAATTGTCTGCTTACAGATGTTAGGTTTCCTTACAGGACTGTGAATGAATACACTGTTTTCCCTGGATGGCAGGGTTAGTCCGGGGATTTGAGTTTATAGTCAGCAACGTAAAGGATATCCTCATATTTAAATGCTCTTCTGGATTTATGCCGGTGAGCCTTGAGGAGTGTGCCCTGCCTGCCCGCCCTCTCTGCAATCTCCCAGCGCACCGTCCTGTGACGGTCACTGGCTGGTGAGGGACCCGCTCACGCGTGGTGGCCCCGAGGGCAGGGGTAGGGCCAGGCTGCTTGACGGGCAGTTGCGGGCCCCGCGGGGAGTTCGCGTCCAACTTCCTTGTCCTCGCCTGTTGAGGTGACTGATGCCTGTCTCTCCCCAGGACCCGCGGCCATGGAGCTGCCTGCCGAGGAGGACTTTGACGCCCTGGTCTCCGCCGCCATCAGGGCGGACAACACCTGCGGCTTCGCCAAGTGCACAGCCAGCGTCGTGACCCTGGGCCAGCTCTGCCCTCACTGTGGCCACCGCTACTGCCTCGGCCACCACCTGCCCGAGGTCTGCGCCCCCCGGGAGAGCGGTGGGCTGTGTCTCCAGATCCTGGGCGGGTGGGCTGCAGGCAAACCTTGGGCCTGTATGTGTGTGTGAGAGACCCGCATATAGGCTCTGGGCCTGTGTGCACGCTCACACACAACCTGTGGGCCTGTGCATGTGTGAGTGACCCCAAGTGGATCCCTCCCTGCCGGGGAGGTGCAGGAGCCTGCCGCCCTGCACTGCCGTCTGCTTGGAGGACGGTCTGGGCTGAGCCCAGGGCAGGGGGCAGGAAGGGTTTGGGGCTCTAGCCACCAGCCCTGCCAGGGCGTGGACCCTTCCCCCCCCGCCACCCCACACCAGGAGCCTGTGGGTGGGGCTTCGTGGCCCCTGAGCGCTGCATTGGCAGAACTGGGGCCTCTTCTGGTCCCACTCCCGGCCCAGCACTGCCTGTTGTGTCCCCCCAGGTCCACGGTTGTGGGGAGAGGGCTCGCGCCCATGCTCGGCAGAGGATCAGCCGGGAAGGGGTCCTCTACCCCGGCAGTGGGACCAAGGACAGGTCCCTGGACCCCGCCAAGCGGGCCCAGCTGCAGAGGAAGCTGGACAAGAAGCTGGACGAACTGACCGGCCAGAGGCGGAGCAAGAGGAAGGAGAAGGGGAAGTGAGGCGGGCACCCTGCCGCCCCCACGGCCTCTGGGTCTGGGACCAGCGGGACCCGCAGTGCCTTTCCCTTCCTGGTGGCGGCTCCTGGCGGCTGCGTGGCAGCCAGACCCACGTCGTCCCCTGGCCGTGGGGCGAGGTGCTTGCTGAGGACCCAGCAATGAGCTGCTCTGACGAGCCGTGGCAAGGCGGAGAGGCTGGGCGACCTCAGCCCAGGCTGCTTCTCATGGGTGGGAGCCCTTGTGCCCCCCTCCACCCCTGCCCCCGAGGGTCTCCTGCGGGCCCGCCATCCGGGGTGCTTCGTCGGCTGCTGCCGCCGGGCTGTGCGCTCCCCTGGACTTGGACCAGCGCTTGTGACCCCTTGAAGGTAATGGCCCCAGGGTCCAGGGCAGCAGCTCCCGGCCCTTCAGGTCAGATGGGCACAGGGGATATGTCAGAGCCAGTGCTGCTCCCAAACGTCCCCACTCACGGCTCGGACCGCAGTGGGGCTGTGACCTCACCGGGGCTGGTTCCCGTCTGTCTTCCCTGGGGGCCGCAGTGACCCTGTCCTGACCCTGCTGGGCAACCGAGGTGACTCTGGCTGTTCTGGTGCCCTGGAGGTCAGAGGTCATGTCCAGGTGTGGTTTAGGCAGGCTTTCTGGCTGGTGCCTGCCCGCCTGCGGCACTGTGCACGGTGGAAGAGCACTGTAGAGCCCTGGCCTAGCCGAGCCTGCAGACCCGAAGGCCCTGGACGGCTGCTCCAGGGTCCCTTCTCGAAGAGAGCCTCAGATGGATGTTTTATTTTATTCTCAGAGCTTTATTTGTTCCAAAGGAATATAAATTATTTAAAAATTAAATGAAAACACGCACACAGCCGCAGCATGTTTGTTTCGTGTCTCTGATGAACGTTCTGTTTTTTCACTTTGGCCTGGTTTAGATGGATTTACACCCCCTTTCCCAAGGGGGCTGAGAGCCTGGTGAGCCTGCAGGTCCTCCGGAGGAGGTGGGGAACCCTTGTCCCAGGCACAGCTGACGAGGAGAAACCGTTCCTGTTCTGTTGGATGTTTCTACCAACCAGGAGGGAAGTTTCAGATTGGCACGTGTAGGGGTGTAACCTGGACAGGAACACGCGGGGCCCGGCTTGGAGGAAAGAGGCGAGGAGGAGGGCGGTTTGTCTGGAGCTGTGCCTGGGGGAGGAGAGGCCAGGCCGGCTTGGAGGTCGCTGCCCTTGGCTCATCTCCCTCCCCTTTGCTGACCACGCCTCTCCTGCTGACCACGCCCCCCGCCACTGACCACGCCTCCCCGCCGCTGACCACTCCCCCCCCCCCCCCCCCCCGCCACCCCTCACCCCAACCCGGGGCCTGGGAGCGGCTGGTGGTCAGGTGTCTGTTCTGACCTCTGTCACCCTAGGAAGCCCGATTTGTTCTCTTTTTGCGCCGTCGGGCCCTGGAGGCCACTTACCCAGCACCTCCATGGATCCTGACCTCCCCCCAGGCCCATATACTTGTCTGCCCTGCTTCTGACAGTGCTGGGCCCTGCCCCCGGCCCTGCCCCCGGCCTGGCGGCCCTCGCTGTGCCACCTCCTGTGGGGTTGTGCCCCCTGCCCGGGCCAACGCCTCCCAGCGCGCGGCCCCTCCTCCCCTTTCCCATGGATGCCCACCTGCACATGGCCGCTCCCCCTCCCATGGATGCCCACCTGCACACGGCCCCTCCCCTCCCCCTCCCGTGGATGCCCACCTGCACACGGCCCCTCCCCTCCCCTCCCGTGGATGCCCACCTGCACACGGCCCCTCCCCCTCCCCTCCCGTGGATGCCCACCTGCACACGGCCCCTCCCCTCCCCTCCCGTGGATGCCCACCTGCACACGGCCCCTCCCCTCCCCTCCCGTGGATGCCCACCTGCACACGGCCCCTCCCCCTCCCCTCCCGTGGATGCCCACCTGCACACGGCCCCTCCCCTCCCCTTCTGTGGATGCCCACCTGCACACGGCCCCTCCCCTCCCCTCCCGTGGATGCCCACCTGCACACGGCCCCTCCCCTCCCCTTCTGTGGATGCCCACCTGCACACGGCCCCTCCCCTCCCCTCCCGTGGATGCCCACCTGCACATGGCCCCTCCCCTCCCCTCCCGTGGATGCCCACCTGCACACGGCCCCTCCCCTCCCCTTCCGTGGATGCCCACCTGCACACGGCCCCTCCCCTCCCCTCCCGTGGATGCCCACCTGCACACGGCCCCTCCCCTCCCCTCCCGTGGATGCCCACCTGCACACGGCCCCTCCCCCTCCCCTCCCGTGGATGCCCACCTGCACACGGCCCCTCCCCTCCCGTGGATGCCCACCTGCACACGGCCCCTCCCCCTCCCCTCCCGTGGATGCCCACCTGCACATGGCCCCTCCCCTCCCCTCCCGTGGATGCCCACCTGCACACGGCCCCTCCCCTCCCCTTCCGTGGATGCCCACCTGCACACGGCCCCTCCCCTCCCCTCCCGTGGATGCCCACCTGCACACGGCCCCTCCCCTCCCCTCCCGTGGATGCCCACCTGCACACGGCCCCTCCCCTCCCGTGGATGCCCACCTGCACACGGCCCCTCCCCTCCCGTGGATGCCCACCTGCACACGGCCCCTCCCCCTCCCCTCCCGTGGATGCCCACCTGCACACGGCCCCTCCCCTCCCGTGGATGCCCACCTGCACACGGCCCCTCCCCCTCCCATGGATGCCCACCTGCACACGGCCCCTCCCCCTCCCCCTCCCGTGGATGCCCACCTGCACACGGCCCCTCCCCTCCCCTCCCGTGGATGCCCACCTGCACACGGCCCCTCCCCCTCCCCTCCCGTGGATGCCCACCTGCACACGGCCCCTCCCCCTCCCCTCCCGTGGATGCCCACCTGCACACGGCCCCTCCCCCTCCCGTGGATGCCCACCTGCACACGGCCCCTCCCCCTCCCATGGATGCCCACCTGCACACGGCCCCTCCCCCTCCCCTCCCGTGGATGCCCACCTGCACACGGCCCCTCCCCTCCCGTGGATGCCCACCTGCACACGGCCCCTCCCCTCCCGTGGATGCCCACCTGCACACGGCCCCTCCCCCTCCCCTCCCATGGATGCCCACCTGCACACGGCCCCTCCCCCTCCCGTGGATGCCCACCTGCACACGGCCCCTCCCCCTCCCCTCCCGTGGATGCCCACCTGCACACGGCCCCTCCCCTCCCCTCCCGTGGATGCCCACCTGCACACGGCCCCTCCCCTCCCCTCCCGTGGATGCCCACTGCACACGGCCCCTCCCCTCCCGTGGATGCCCACCTGCACACGGCCCCTCCCCTCCCCTCCCGTGGATGCCCACCTGCACACGGCCCCTCCCCCTCCCCTCCCGTGGATGCCCACCTGCACACGGCCCCTCCCCCTCCCGTGGATGCCTTCCTCACTTGCTCTCATCCAGTGGCTTTAGGACTTGACTTTCCGGGAAGAGGAAGGAGGGTCTCCAGGGGCCACATGTAGTCCGAGGATGATCCAGGTCAGCACAGAGAGTGCTGCTGAATGCAGAGCCACCATTTCCGCTGCTCAGGCGCCCTGGCTGCCAGGAAGCCTGGACAGGGAGACAGGGTCACGAGGCGTCTGCGTCAGAAGCATACTTTTGTGGTTGCTGAGGGCCCCGTGGCAGCTCTCTCCCCTCAAAGGATGCTAATCCCTGCCTCTGTGTTAACAAGCCCTGATCCTCTTGCCGCAGGGGGGCTCTGGGTCCTCGGCCGGATCATATAACACACCTGAATGGCCGCAACAGGGCCAGGTTTGGCGACGGGTTAGAATCCCAGCAGGGTACCCCAGGATCTGCCCCCTGGGTCCACACACAGGCGCTAAAAGAAAGGTGCTGGTTCTTCCACAGGCAGCCACCCCTCCTGCCATCTTGAGGAAGCCTGTCTGCAGGACAGAAGGAGGCCAACACAGAAGCAGAGTCAAACCTGGGCATGGGGGAGTAACTGGCTCACGATGTCTGAGCACCTGGATCCAGCCATACCTGATCCCAGCCTGTTCTCAGTGCCTCAGACTAACACGTCCCCTTTTCTAGATGAGAAGATCTGCCGTAGGTTTCCATTTCCTTGCAGCTAAAAGGATCTGCACTGATCCAGTTGTGCCCACAACTGTGTATCTTACTGGGTCTGTCCAGTCCTGGCACGGAGGTGGTGCCACATTAGGGCCCCTCCCCTCATTAGGCAAAGGGAAAGCCCTGCACCTTCATCCGTGTGCTCCCCACTGGGCCAGCCCACTAGGAAGAGCTCCAAGCAGGGGTGGTGGGAGCCCCGGGCTGCGAGCCCTGAGTGTGGATCCAGCTCCGCTGGACTTGGCTTCGGCACGTGGCTCCACTTTGAGCCCGTCTGTTCCTCCGTCACAGGGACCGGGGAATGGGCCACCTTCCCAGCTGTGCTGAGATGCCCACAGAGAGGTGGTGGGCAGTGTACTGGTGAGGCCTAGGTTATGCTACTGGGCTCCATGGCAGTAAACCCCCGGCCCCATGTGGGGTCCTCATCTCCACCACTGCCCTCCACTCAAGCCGGGTCTGCTGTGTGGTTAAAATGTCATGAGTTGAAATAGCACAGAAGGTTTCCTTTTCTCATCCCAGAGAGACTTCGTTAAGAAAGTATTTGTATCTTAAAAAGTGCGGTGCAGTTCCCTGGTGGGAACTGCTCAGATGGTAAAGACTCTGCCTGCAAAGCAGGAGACCTGGGTTTGATCCCTGGGTCAGAATGATCCACTGGAGAAGGGAATGGCAACCCACTCCAGTATTCTTGCCTGGAGAATCCCGTGGACAGGGGAGCCTGGCAGACTACAGTCCATGGGGTTGTGAGGAGTCAGACAAGACTGAGTGACTGACCCTCAAGCTGGAAAGGGTAGCCCAACAAAGGAGAGAACAGCCCAAACCAGAGGAGCTGGTCTGCCGGCACCTGGGGGTTCAGGTTTCCTGAAGGAGCAGCGGGTGTTGGAGCCCTTCTGAGTGGTTGTGTGTCTTCTCCTCCATGGCAAGCACCCATGTGGGGGCCCTGCTGTCTTCTTCTTTTTGGTGTTGGGGGTGATACAATACAGGATGGAGCCCCGGGTTTAGAGCATGTCAGCCCTGGGGCACACGCTCAGATCTGCCTTGTACAGGCTGTGTGGCTGTGGGCCTCAGTTTCTTCTTCTGTCAAATGGGGACATAACAGGACACCCCACAGGGTTGCTGTGAAGCTTTCAGGCTTTACACTCACGAGGCCCTTGACACAGTGCTTCTGTGCTCAGGAAGTGTCTGCTGTCCTTGACATCTTGTTGCAGAGCTGAGATGGCATAGGTGGCTTCTCCTCCAGATTCACCAAGTGGCATCTCCTGTGCTCGGCCAAGGCCAGGGTGCCCGGGGCCCCAGGAGCTTCCAGCTGACGTTGGCGTATGTGGAGCCCCACGCCTGGTTTGGGGGCGCATCTTGGGCTTCCTTCCATGCAACAGGGCACACCCTCCTCCCCTGCTGGTGGGCTGTGGACGGCAGCGGGGCCAGCCCTGCCCTGCCCCGCCCCGTGTTTACCTGGGTTTGTTTGGAGCGTTACCAGGGGATCAGAGAGGGTTGACGGGCACCCGGCTGCTTTTGGGATGGTTTAGGCCTGACTTACAACCTGGCATTTAACAGGAACTGTGTTCCATGCCAGGAGCATTGCAAAAGCTGCAGCCTTATTTGGTCTGGAAACTTCTCTGCTCGGAGGAGAAGTGGAGCCAGGGAGCCGATCTGGACTCACCCTGGGCGGCCAGAGCCTTAGTGATGCCAGCTTGGGTTGTCCGGTTCGTGAATTCTTCTCATCTCTCACTTATCTCTTTGTGGTGGGCTGCCTGCCCTTCGCAGCGACGGTTCTCCCCTTTTCCACCAGAACCACCGCTCAGCTCTCTCTCCTCTGCCCACAACTGCCGATGAGTTATTTTACTGCACAGCTTTAGTGAGGTGGGATGATCATGCCATGAAATCCACCCATTGCCAATGTACAACACAATGAATTCCAGTAAATGCTCAGGACTCTGCCAACCTTTACGCTGCCCCCCACTCATGTTCCCTAATGCAGTATTAGGACAGGAAGTTCCCTTCCAGCCTTAATTTTCTGGGAATTTTTGTTGATTTATTTATAAATTTTTATTAGCGGTTTTATTTTTAAATCACAAATGGCTTTGGACTTTGTTATACGTTTTCCTTGCCTATGAGGATGACCACGTGGGATTCATCCTTTATACATAGCTCTCTGGTGGTTGTTTGTCCTTTAGCTGCTAAGTTGTGTCCAACTCCTTGCTCCCCCATGGACTGCAGAATGCCAGGCTTCCCTGTCCTTCACTATCTCCCGGAGTTTGCCCAAACTCATGTCCATTGAGTTGGTGATGCCATCCAACCATCTCACACGGTAGATGGCGTGAATTGAATTTTGAATGTTAAACCGACCTTGAATTCCTAGGGTAAATCCCACTCGTCACAGCATACAATTTTTGTATATGTTGTCAATGGGAGTATGTGATCAGAAACATTTGGAAATCACTGTTTCAGCGTCTGTTGCAAATTGGAAGCAAGTCTCCTTAGGGCAGGGTCCCCAGTCTTCTTGGCTCCAGGGAACAGTTTCATGGAAGACAGTTTTTTCGCATGTGGGGGTGGGGGATGGTTTCAGGATGATTCAAGCGCCTTACATTTTCGGGCGTTTTGATCTAATGGTGCCGCTGATCTGACAGGAGGACCAGCTGGTCAGTGGTCCAGAGGCTGGGGCCCGCTGCCTTAGGGGAAGTCGTACTTGGATGCTTTTCATGAACTGAGTTAGAGATTCCAGGACCCAGAGAGGTAGAAACCAAGCAGAGGGCTGCTCATGCCCGTCTTTCCCTCTCAAACATGTTCTGAGGTTGGCATGTCGTTCGTTTTAGCCTTCAGCCCCACAGATTCAGCCGTCAGAGGGGCCTGCCCTGGGGCTGGCCTGCTCACCTTCCTCGGGGGTGGATGGAAGTGGCTTTTGGGGTGAGTTGGGGGTTGAAACCCACCTGTGCCCAGCCTAACAAGTCTGGTGAAACCATCTGTGGCCACTCAGAGGAAGGGCGTCCCGTTTTGCTTTTTTTTTGGCCATGTTGTGCAACATGTGGGATCTTAGTTCCCCGACCAGGAATTGAACCCAGGCTCTGGGCAGTGAAAGCACGGAGTCCTAACCACTAGACCGTCAGGGAATTCCCTTTTTTAAAAATTTTCCCAGAGATGCTGCAGAGGCTGCTGGTGACCCTGGACAGACAGAGGCTGTGAGTGGGCATGCAGGGCTGCCCAGGTCTGGCTCTCACAGCCAGACCAGGGCAGGGAACTTCTCGTTGATCCTCTTCAGTGAACGGAGCGTCCTGGTGTTTTTTTACACCCTTTCCTGGAGTGCGAGGACAGAGGTTATGGCTTGCTGGGGAGCCTGCTCCCTGGGTTCAGCACATGGAGCCCCAGCAAGCCCCATAGGGACTTCTGCCCCCTCTGTAAATGTCCGGGGAACACCCCTCCCTGTGGGAGCCACCAGGCCCCCGATCATCTGGGAATGAACTTGTCTCTTGCTCTCCCAGAACAGAGACAGCCCTCTTCCGGTCCTCGGCAAGCCTGGGGACAGTGGTCGTGCCTCTCTGTTCTTTACTCCCCCTGGGGAGACCCCACAGGGGTCCTCCGGCCCCCATCGTGAAGGGCGGGAGGTACAGAGCTCAAGCTTCTGGTCAAGACAGTGTCACAAGTTGTTGCTTTGGGGCAGGACCCTCACCCCTGATCCCTGACCCGATGCTCAGCAGTCCTAATAAAACGGAAAAAGGAATTCTAAACACATGGAGCCACCCTGACCCCCCAAAGATAAACATCCCCGTGTTCCAGAAAGCAGACAGAAACTGCGCAGTCAGAGGCGGGAAGCCACGGGCCTGTTGGACTCCTGGTCTTGTTGGGACTTTCCTGTTCGTCAGAGGCAGAAAGGCTGCTCCCGTTGCTATGGCCACATAACAAATTTACCCAAAACTCTGTGGCATAAAACGACCGTTTATCCTGCTCCCTGTTCTGGGCTCAGGAATTTGGAGAGGACTCAGCAGGACCCAGAGAGTCGAGATGCTGGCCCGTGGCTCCAGGCGGGAGGACCCCGGTGAAACCGGCTCCCCGCATGCCAGGGTCAGGCTGATGCCTGTCTCCAGCTAAGACCTTCTCTTTGCTCGGCTTCCCCGGAGCCCGCCCTGCGTCCTCACTCTCTTGCCCTGAGCAGCCATTCCCTGTAAGCCAGACGCCCGAGTCCCGAATCCCTCCCCCTGTGCTCCTGGGAGACGGGGCCTGAGCCACTCGGGACCTTACTGCCAATCACATACCGATCACATGCTGATGGCTCCCAAAGGATTATCTTCTCTACAATCTTCCCTAGCTCCAAATAGAAGTCTGCTCGCATCTGCCCTTGGGTATTTAGAGGCATCCCAAACTCAATGCGTCCCAATCTGAGGGCCTGATCAGCCCCTGGGCGGTGGGCTGGATGGTGGCCCCCAAAAGCTATGCCCACATCTCGATACCCAGAGCCTATGAATGAGATCTTTTTGGATAAAGGGTATTTGTAGATGTAATTAAGGATCTCACAGGGGGATCGTCCTGGTGGCTCGTGGGCCCTCAAGCCAATGACAGGTGTCCTTGTAAGAGACAAAAGAGGACAGACGGAAGGGAAGAGGGGGAGGCCACGCGGAGGACGAGGCAGAGGCTGGAGGGATGTGGCCAGAATCCAGGAACACCTGGCGCCCCGGAAGCTGGGACAGGCAGGAAGGCTTCTTCCTCCCCTAGCGCCCTGGGACTGAGCGCAGCCCTGCTGACCCCTTGATTTTGGGCTTGCAGTCTCCGGAGCCAGGAGCAAACAAGTTTCTGTGGTTTCAAGCCTCCCCAGGACATGGACATGCCTTCTAAACCTGCAGCTGTGTCTTTGAGGTCACCCGCCCTGCACCCTCACAGTCATCCTGCTCACCTCTTTCTCACCCCCGCAGAGACCCGCCAGCAAGTCAGCTGCGCTCTGCCTTCAGACCGCGCTGGAATCTGCCCGCATCTCCCCGTCTTCTGTGGCCGCCCTGGCCCCCACACAGCCTGTCTGCCTTGGATCCCAGCCCAGCCTCCTCCCTGTCCGCCCTGAGCTCCACCTTGGGACCCCCACCTGTTTCACAGAGTCTTTCCCCCCGACGTCCTCTTTTCTGTACTTCATTCTGTGATGCCAGGCTGATGCTCCACGAACCACATCCTTATCCTCCGGTCCTTTCGGGGCTGGGTCCCTCCTGTTCTCCCAGTGCTGTGGGTGACAGCTAGCTGCTCATTTCCTCTGCACAGCTGGAGTCCTGGATGCGATCCTTTTTCCTGACCGGAATCCACTGGCGCACTGGTCTCCCAGTGTCCAGGCTTGCACCCACGAGCTAGTCTCAACAAAGCAGTTAGAGGGTGGGGGTGGGGGGTGGTCCTGACACGCACAGACAAGGGGGCAGGTTTGCTGGAGGGGAGAGGGCTCTGGGATTCCGGGTGAAGTTTCAGAGCTTTTAGCAAAATGGATCACAGGAGGACTTCCCTGGTGGTGCAGTGGATAAGAATCTGCCTGCCACTACAGGGGACACGGGTTCCATCCCTGGCCCGGGAGGATTCCACACGCCGAGGAGCGGCCGAGCCACAACTGCTGAGCCTGAGCCCTAGAGCCTGCGAGCTGCAGCCGCTGAAGCCTGAGGGCCCTGGAGCCTGGGCTCTGCGACAAGAGAAGCGACCGCGATGAGCAGCCCGCACACCGCACCTGGAGAGAAGCCTGCACAAAGCTACTGCACAAAACGAAGACCCAGCACAGCTGAAAAAAAGGAAAAGGAGAACACACCAGGCTTTATTATTCACACTGCACTCACAGTATCTGCTCCCTCCTCCAGCTGGATTAGTGTTTTGTTTGTTCTTTTTTTTTTTTTCCATTTATTTTTATTAGTTGGAGGCTAATTACTTTACAATATTGTAGTGGTTTTTGTCACACATTGACATGAATCAGTTTCTTCTTTTTTAAAAATGTATTCTTATTTTTTTAAGGTAGGTTCTTGATGGTTATCTATTTTAAATATAGTAGTGTGTACATGCCAACCCCAACTTCCCAGTCTATCCTTAACCCCGTGCTCTTCCCCACTGGTAACCATGAACTCCTTCTCTGTGTCTCTGAGTCCGTTTCTGTTTTGTAAGTAAGTTCATTTATATCATTTTTTAAAAAGATTCTGCTTATAAGGGGTATCACATGTTTGTCTTCCTCTGACTTACTTCACTTCGGATGATAATCTCTGGGTCCACCCACGTTGTTGCAAATGGCGCTGCTTCACTCTTTCTAATGGTTTATACAGAAGTCCCCTACACACAAACGTGTTTGGTTCCAAGACTGAGTTCCTAAGTCCTATTTATTCATGAATCCAACAAAGTTAGCCTCAGTACCAACTAATGCAGTCGGCCATATGGCACTGTACTGTAATAGGTTGATGATGTGGACCATTTTCTAAAAAGTCCGTCTTGAATTTGTTACAGTTTTGTTTCCGTTTTAGGTTTTGGTTTTTCAGCCTCCAGGCATGTGGGACCTTAGCTTCCCGACCAGGGACTGAACCTGCCCCCACCCCCAGTATCAGAAGGTGAAATCTTAACCACTGGACCGCTAGGGCAGTCCTGTACGGAATAGGTTTCTAATACTTTTCACACAAATAACACATAAAACACAGACACAAAAAATAAAACATTTTTGATCTAATAATACAGTACCTTGAAAAGTACAACGCTACCAGAGATATCACCGTTGTTTTCACGCTTGATTCCAGATACCCTGGGCTTGAAATAAAGATGTACTCTTCGTAGTGCTGGGCAGTACGCAAAAGCACAACCACTTGTAGAGGACGCACACGCGTGACGTTGTACACCAGACACGCAACTGGACATACAAACACACATTAGCATCTTTGAAAGTTCTCAGCTTGAAGATTCATATGTAGGGGGCTTACTATATGTACCAAGCATTTTGCTTTTTTTTTTTTTTAATTAACTGTGGGCTACCCTGGTAGCTCAGTTCAGTTCAGTTTAGTCGTTCAGTCGTGTCCATCTCTTTGAGACCCCATGGACTGCAGCACACCAGGCTTCCCTGTCCATCACCAACTCCCAGAGCTTACTCAAACTCGTGTCCATTGAGTCGGTGGTGCCATCCAACCATTGCATCCTCTGTCGTCCCTTTCTCCTCCCAACTTCAATCTTTCCCAGCATCAGGGTCTTTTCTAGTGAGTCAGTTCTTCCCATCATAGCTCAAGCTGGTAAAAAAAATCCGCCTGCAATGCAGGAGACACAGGTTCAACTCCTGGGTCAGGAAGATCCCCTGGAGAAGGGATGGGCTCCCCACTCAAGTATTCGTGGGCTTCCCTGGTGGCTCAGATGGTAAAGAACCTGCCTACAATGTGGGAGACCTGGGTTCGATCCCTGGATTGGGAAAATCCTCTGGAGGAGGGCAAGGCAACCTACTCCAGTATTCTTTTTTTTTTTTTTCCCCATTTATTTTTATTAGTTGGAGACTAATTACTTTACAATATTGTAGTGGTTTATGCCATACATTGACATGAATCAGCCATGGATTTACATGTGTTCCCCATCCTGAACCCCCCTCCCACCTCCCTTCCCACCCCATCCCTCTGGGTCTTCCCAGTGCACCAGCCCCGAGCACTTGTCTCATGCATCCAGCCTGGGCTGGTGATCTGTTTCACACTTGATAATATACATGTTTTGATGCTGTTCTCTCAGATCATCCCACCCTCGCCTTCTCCCATAGAGTCCAAAAGTCTGTTTTATACATCTGTGTCTCTTTTGCTGTCTTGCATATAGGGTTATCATTACCATCTTTCTAAATTCCATGTATATGTGTTAGTATACTGTAATGGTCTTTATCTTTCTGGCTTACTTCACTCTGTATAATGGGCTCCAGTTTCATCCATCTCATTAGAACTGATTCAAATGTATTATTTTTAATGGCTGAGTAATATACCATTGTGTATATGTACCACAGCTTTCTTATCCATTCATCTGCTGGTGGGCATCTAGGTTGCTTCCATGTCCTGGCTATTATAAATAGTGCTGCGATGAACATTGGGGTGCACGTGTCTCTTTCAGATCTGGTTTCCTCAGTGTGTATGCCCAGGAGTGGGATTGCTGGGTCATAAGCAGTTCTATTTCCATTTTTTTAAGGAATCTCCACACTGTCCTCCATAGTGGCTGTACTAGTTTGCATTCCCACCAACCCACTCCAGCATTCTTGCGTGGAGAATCCCCATGGACAGAGGGGCCTGGCAGGCTACAGTCCATGGGGTCACAAAGAGCGGGACATGACTGAGCAGCCCAGCCCAGCACAGCATTAACTGCAGGCCATATCTGAATGGTGGACTGTGAAATCAGCATGGTGAGCTGTGACCAGGGATTTTAACAAACAGTGACATGAAATAGAAAGGGCAGGATGGAGTGATCAGACTGTGACACACGCGGTCAGAGGAGACCCTGTCTGATGAAACTTTGCTCAGGGCTTTGTGTGTGCGCAGTTGTGATGTAAATGCATTTCTTTATGTGAGTCTTGGTTCACGGTATTTGTAAGCTTCACAGAGGTGGGTCTGCACCTGTCTTGCCCCCGGGTCCACCTCCTGGGGCTTCTGATCATCTGTCCAGCGCATGACTAGGGCTCATCCCTCTGCAGCCGGGCAGACCTCTCTGATGGTTCTGCACTGGGAGGTTTTCTGAGGTCATTTTGCTGTGGATTTTCTTCTCTGTGATGTCTCTTTGCCCTTTCCCTGGAGTTCCTCCGGTGCATAGGGCAAATCTGGACATATCTTCTATTTTTTTTTTTTTTAACATTTTCCGTTTTCTCTCTCTTGGTCTTTTGCTTTCTTTTTATGAGCCATTCCTCAGCCTTATTTGCCCAACCCTCCTGTTGATATTCAGGTTTTAAAAACTCATACGGT